ATCACCTGCAGAAGGAGGTCGAACGTGGGGAGCACCTTGCCTTCTGTTTACCAAAGAATATCCAGAGAACTACTACTGAGGTAAATCAACGAAAAAATTGTGTATTTGGACTGTTGATATAGATAACAAAAATAAGTGTTTTATATAAATGGGAGAAATGAGCTTCCTTTTGAATGATCAGATAATGTGGCCACGGAAGCCATTTTGATGTAAATGATGAAAATGCTGTATGTTAAATGACTAAGTTAAAATATTCTTATAATGCTTGGCTGTCTTCTTTGGTTGATTACTTGGGTTGTGCTTTAGGTTTACCTCTTGTGTTGCCTTCAAGAATATCATCCAAGTTGTTTGGTTTTTGTGTTGTCCTTTTAGGTCGTCTTCTTATGGCCCTTTCACACATATGCAATCTTTAATGCTTTAAAGATCATCCATCCATCTCAGTGATCTTCCAGCTGTAATGCAGTATTTGTGCAGCTTTCATTTTTTTCGGGCACCATTCGTGCACAAAATCTTAATTTTAGCCATTACTACAGCTGCCCAAAATTTGCACAGCAACTGCACAATAGATACCAGGCGAATCATTCATCTGATCGAAAGCGGTGCGGTAGGTAAATGAGTGGCATCAGTGCATGAGTGGCTTAGTATTTTGGCAGGTGTATGCCAAGGCATCATCCTTATCTTTGTTCCTGCTGCATTAGCTTGTGAGTCTTGAAGAGGAGGGTGGTCAGTCACACCTCCTCCATGCAGATCTGTAAAGAAGCTGCTTTGTCCAGAGGAGGGGATAACAGAGTCATTCTGTGTTCGTTCAGCAATTGAGTAGCATTCATATGGCAATCGCGCAGTATTCTTTACTGTTCAGCCGTGGAACTCGGCAGCTGCCAGGCAGGCATCGTTGTGGTTGTTCAGTCCACCATTCAAGCTGTGCTTGTAAAAGTGTCGTGCCAACCTCTCTGCACATGGTCGAGCCAAAGTGCACCGATCTTCAACGATGCCAGAGAGAGTCAGGGTCATGGCGGTTCCGTCCCACGATCGCCTGTGTGAGGCTTCCTGAAGTTCGCAGATTGTCTTGAATATTGTAATCTGGAGTGATCTTTCGGGCTATTTGGGCTGGCCTCTACGTTGTCTTCTTGGGTTCCCTTTGTGTTATAGTCTTGGTATGTGTTTGCATGCCTTTGGTTTTCTTCCAAATTGTCTTTTAGGTTGTTTGCTGATATGATTCTTGAATTAGTTCCTCCGACTTTTTTTTTGAATACTAACAGTACATCACCGATGATAATGATAATAATCATTACTTTTCAGGAAATTAGGTATCCCAAATTTATGGCTCTTAAACCGGAAACGAAGTCATGCAGTAAAAATCAAGGTAATCTTATTCCTGTTTACTGTTGAATAGAATTACTGGCCTGTGATAAGCTTGTTCATTATTAGCGTTTGATTTTTTTAAAAGTAGAAAGAGAACCATTTTCTTTTTTTGCATATTTGTTTACATAGTTCTGTTCGTTAATCTAGTATTCTTGTTCAAGGCAACCGTAGTTCAAATATTGAAATATATATGATATTTCTCTTCATATATTCTCTCAATATATCATTAAAGTAAACCCAAGCTTTTAAGGTATCATTAGGATTAACATATTTGTTATTGTTTGTTCGTTTATTATTGCTATAATTATTATTCTTATTTTTGTCACTACTACTACTCTTATTACCATTATTATCACCATCAATATCATCAGTGTCAACGTCATCACTAGCGTCATTACCACATCATCATTATAATTCCTCCCGTCGTTGGTGTTATTGCTGTTATCCTCTTCATAGCCACCATTTTCTTCCTCCTCATCGATCCTTCGCAGCCAGCCCCTCGGGCGCCGCGAGCTCCCTTCCGCCCATGGAGCTCATGCACCGAGCTGTCTTGGACCAGGACGAAGCCTACGTCATGCTGTGGGAACCTAAGGACAAAGAGATCATCTTCGAAGTTCAGGTTAGAAGTGCGGCGGCCTTTGTGCGAAATCTAAAAGTGGATTCTGTTATTGCGGGATCTGAAAGTATATATTTTTTTTTTGTAGAATCTGACAGTGAAGTGCAAGAGCGTTCAAGGCTGCTGCTAAATGTATTCTGAAGTCCTTTTTTATGTTAGATATGAGCTGTCTCTGTGGCCTTTGTCTGTCGGTTGATTTTCCGACGTTCATTATTTCCTCAAACATTGACATTGAGCTGCATTTCCTTATGAATGCTCCTGTGCACGCACGCGCGCGCGCACACACACACACACACACACACACACACACACACACACACACACACACACACACACACACACACACACACACACACACACACACATTTATGTATACCAACACACATCACCAAAATAACACACCGACCTCCAGTGCTGCTAACGAAGACCCGTGCCCGCAGGTGAGGACGCAGGGCTACGTGGGCCTCGGGTTCTCCCCCAACGGTGGCATGAAGGGCGCCGACGTCGTGCTTGGCTGGGTCGCAGACGACGGAAAAGTCATGCTGCAAGTAAGCAATCGAGATTAGACGAGGTCAAGCAACTAAGTCTTAGAAATCGATGGATGCCTGTGAAGAGATTCGTGTTTGGCATAGTCTCACAAATTTGCTGACGATTCCATTGCTTCTTGACAGGACCGCTATGCCACAGACTACACCACGCCCAAGATTGACAAATCACAAGACGTGGAGCTTCTGGGAGGATACCAGAATGATACCCACACTGTGCTGCGATTCTCAAGGCCCTTGGACTCTTGTGACGCCGATGAGGACCGGAAGCTCACGGTGGGTGGTTGGGGTGGGCGCGAGGGCGGGGGGGGGGAGGTGTGTGTGTGTATGAGAGCAGTTCTTCCATGTATGATTAAACATATTTTGTATGCGAGTGTAGATATAAATTTATCTATATAAATCTATATATACAATTATATAGGAATATAGATAGGTAGATATTTATCATGTGTACCCAGCTGTATCTTGACACCGCACTGAGGCCAAACATGAACGCTGCCCTCCTCTCCGTCAGAGCGACACCATCCGGCTGATCTGGGCGTATGGGCGAGAGGACCCTGACGAGGAGGGCGCGGTGAAGATGCACGACGAGCGAGGGACAAAGAGCATGTACCTGATGGAGCCGCGGTTCAACCAGTCGGCTGTGGGCGAGGACGTGCGCACTTGGGAAGTCATGTCTCCGAACGTAAGGGTGGAATTGCACGTTCTTTCATGCCCATATTTACCCTTTCTATATTTGGATTAGTAACCATATCATGTGTGTACAATTGCCTATACAGAAAGGGATATAATAACGCGTTAAATCAAATGAAGGTATGCATGTCCAAAAGGGATCCCAGACTATTTGCATTTATTGAATATCATGCTGATTTCAGCTTTCCTCCCTAACATAACCAGCGAAATTACATTAATGCATTAGATTAAATGAAAATCAAAATGGAGTTATCGATGGCCATGTTATAAATGGCGGTTTAAATTTACAAATTTTCAGAAAATGAGTCTGAGACCCCCTGTGGCCACACATGCCTTTAAATGCAGTTAAAAACCGCCACAGTTCTATTTGTATTGTGGCTTCGTTTCACGTTATATGTGAATGCATGGTATTTGGAATTTCTTGCCACTCTATAAAAAACAACCTTTTTTATAGTAAATTTGTCTGCACACGACATATATTCAAGCAACTTTTCTGCATTCACCCCAGTGCATGGTGCATTTTATTTGACCACTTTGCCATTTCCCCAGGTGACCATTTCATTTGCCATTTCTCCAGGTGACATTGCCGGACAATTTGTCAACACTGTACTGGTGCAAGATGTACAAAATCCCTCGCCTCGCCCGGAAGAACCATATTATTGGAGTAAGTATAACAAGAAGCAGTGCAACCAGTGTATAAACCTAATTTGGTCGTTATTCAATAGGAATAGTGAATGTTTTTTCCTGACACTGTGATATATCACTGTGTCTCTCACCAGAAAAGCCCCATCATTTCCGCCCTTTCTGAATCCCCAGTACGTCCCAGTCATCCAGAAGGGCAACGAGAAGCACGTGCACCACATGTTGCTGTACGAGTGCCACATCTCGGACAGCGAGCGCCATTTCGAGAAGTGGCTGGACGTGGATGGCGCCCAGTGCTATGGCCCCAACATGCCGGTGTCTTGGCATAAGTGCAATGCGCCTATTATAGCGTGGGCAGTGGGCTCTGAAGGTAAGTGACTTCAAAGTAAAGCGTGGAAAGGGGAGAATATGAATTTAGATATACTGTTTTAACTAAGGCCGCGGTGGCCGAGTGGTTAGAGCATCGGACTCAAAGACTGTCATGATATTCTGATTTCGAGAGTTCGAGTCACCGACCGGCTCGTTGTTCATCTAGGTTCCTATAGAAATGGGAGTCCACAACCCAGTGGACTGTCTCCGTGCCCATCCCAAGCTCGGATGACTGGGGAGGGTTGGTGGCAGGAAGGGCATCCGGCTGTAAAAGCAAGCCAAGACCGGTGCGGATCGTTTCGTTTTTTTTGAGAAGCCGGAAGAAGAAATATATATATATATATATATATATATATATATATATATATATATATATATACATATATATATATATATATATACATATATATATCCATATATATATATATATATATATATATATATATATATATATATATATATATATATATATGCATATATATATGCATATATATATATATACATATATATATCCATATATATGTATATATATATACATATATATATATATATATATATATATATATATATATATATATATATATATATGTATATATATTGCATATATATATATATATATATATATATATATATATATATATATATATATATATATATATATATATATATATGCATATATATATATATATATATATGTATATATATATATATATATATATATATATATATATATATATATATATATATATATATATATATATATATATATATAT